CAGAGAGGGAGAGCGACTGTGTGCTGAAGACCTGGGGGGTATGGGGGAAGGATTGCATGGAGGGGATTGTAACCATGGCAATGAGACAATATACGACAGAATGAATGTAAAACTAATGTTCTCCCATGTAAACTATCACATAATTCACAATAAAACATTAAAAAAATTATAGATTAGAGTACTTTTATTTATTAATGCACACAAAATTGAATCTGTCTTTCTGGAAACATTCTTTTCAATCGAAAGACTAGCATGATCATTTCATACCTGAAATGATCACGATATAGAAAGTTACTGATATAAATTTTTTACAGAATAGCGTATTTCACTACATGAAAATAATTTGTATTTTCCACTCGGTAGTTTTTTTTTAGTAAGGATATCAAGATGGTATGGCGTCTGTCTTCTGTTAATACTTTTTTTGATTTAATAAGAAAAAAACAAAACACCTGCTGTTCATGCTTAATAAACAGCCATCACATTTAAAGTAGTGCCAGGACCCTAGGCTCCAGGGACCAATAGACCTAAATTTATTCCAACCCTGAATTATATATTAATGTCCAATAATACATGAATTAACGGAAATCAGAATTTCTCAATTTGAAGATGAAGAAAAACATTCTTCCAGCATAGTTGTCACTTTAGAAGGCTCTTCTACTTATTTAGAAATAACCCAACATATTTAGACAATGAAATGATAACAATACTTAAAAAAAAGAGTAATACTGATCTCTCCCTCTTCAATTCTTAAGCATAATCAGTCCTTTCCTTTCTACATAAATTAGTTGAAATAAGCAATTCTACAGGCTGCACATATTGAAAATCAGCAGCCAGCCTAAATTTTGTTGAAGTCAAATTTGTTTAAACCAACTGTTTGTTAAATGCCATGTGCACTGTCTACTCTTCGCCGACTCAATAGTTTACTATATGGGGCAGCATCTATTTGAAAACCATGTGAGAAATAAGGGAGAAAAACTCCCAAGAAACAAAAAACCTTCAGGGTCTAAGATACAAAGACTATCAAGATGGACCATTATGAAGACCAGAAATATTAGCTGTTCTAGTTGCTACTTTTCTAACACATTTAAATTTCAGAGCAGCACAGGAATAATTCAAAAGAAAATTCCAACACATTAACACATATCTAATCATCTAAACATACAGTAGTCCAGTTCACAAATAGATTTGACTTAAGCCTTTCAACTTCAGTATGAAATATACTTTTGGACCCACTTATTCAAAGATCATTGACTAACCCATAGTGCAGTCTGCATTACTCCGCTGTATGAATTAACCACGTTAACAGCAGCTAGATGATTCCAATCTTGGTCCAAAAAACACCAAAACCAAAAACCACAGCAATAAAATGAGAAAGTAATATTTCTAACAGTACTGAGATAAAATGATGAGAATTTCTTGTTTCAGCTTTCTTGTTCAATAAGCCTGTTCCTAATTTTTAGATAATGGAGACAAAAGGTGTCACAACCAAATGTGGGAAATCGCTGTTTTTTAGGCCTTAGTAAAAAAAAAAAAAACAAAGCTCAACTTTGGGCACATCAGTACACCTCAAAGGTCAAAAAAAAAAACCACAAAAAAAACACAAAAAAACAAAAAATCAGTTTTACATAATCCTAAATAGATAGGACCAAATGATCACAGAAATAATTTCTTCTGTAAAAATTGGCCAAATTTTATTTTAAAAATCTAATATATCATTTAAATTCTATAATGACTGCTTGGGGTCATAATATTATAGATTTATGACAGTTGTAATTTCATCCTAACAAGAAAGTACTTGTTCTCACGTTGCTTTGGTCCAAAAGAGTAGAGCCGAATCAGTAAGAGTAACTAAATATCTAATCTTTAGACAACCTTAAATTAGATTGTTATTGAAAGGAGAAATATCTATGACGAATAATTCTACTACAACAAAGTATAATAAAAGAATATTTTTCATGAACATAGCACAGTCTCAAATAAACTTTTTATAAGAGAAAAACATGAAGAAACAAAAAAGGATAAAATGCTATCACAACAAAAAGACCCACAAAATTTTACCAGTTTCAAAAGTGTCGCCCCTCTAACTGCATTAGAAGGGGTAAGAAGGTAAGATTAGAGGGCTGATGACGCTAATATGAAAGGATGCTGAGTACTGTATTTATTTCTTATTTATCCAACTCTTACTCTTTACAAAAATGGTTATAGACATGTCCACAAAAGTGTAACCCATGACATCTGAAAGCAAACACTCTTTGTAACTTTTTAAAAGGGCCTTTAAAAAAATTATAATACAAAGGTCTGTGCTCTATAAGCAGTCCTTCACTGTGCATTTTAACAAGAAGGCTTACTTTTAATACAAAGACTTAAGTGTTTGGAGAGTTATGAACCACTGGATTTAACAAACATCATTTTATAATTGCTCTTTGCATCCTTCTTGTTTTTGGGGATCCTCCACGTCGTCAGGGTGTTCTGGAGCTTGTAGTTCTTCAGCAGATTCTTTTTTCTCTGACTCAGAATCACTCTCAGAGACATCTGGGCTTTCAGGGTCAGGTGACTCATCATCATCATCTCCTGACACATCACCTTCTCCATCATGGTCTTCTACCTCACTGAAGCCAAGTCCACAAAGTCGTCGATATCTTCCTGATAATTTGCCGTCCATACTTTGCTGATACTGAGACTCCAGCTCTTCATTAATTTTCTTGTCTTCTTCCCCTGTCTGATTTGTGATCTCCTATAACAAGACGACCAGTATGTTCTTTCTTTCCTGCTCCCATGAGTCTCAGAAACTTTTGTTTTCTCTCTTCATTACCTAAGTCTGCTGCCTCCCAATTGCTAGATCCAAGATCGTCGTCTGGGGAGGCTGACCGCTTCACCCCGTGCTGGTGGGACTCCCTGGCAGCACTCATGGTTGCAGAAATCCAGAAGAGAGATACGGAACCCACTCGCAGTTCTCCTCAGCAGTCGCGCCAGCAGCCTGCAATCTACCACCGGCCTCAAAAGCGCCTCTCCAGAACGCAGTGCTACTCTGGACCTTTTCTCACCATTGTTTTTGAGAGACAGTTTTGCTCAGTATGTGATTCTTTGTTGGCAAATTTTCTTTCAGTTTTGTGTAGTATTCACATTGCCTTCTTGCCTACATGGTTTATACTGAGAAATCAGAGTTTACTCTTACTGGTTCTCCTTTGTAGGTAATTTTTCATTTTCTCCAAGCTGCTTTCAGGATTCATTCCTTAATGTTGATTTTGGAGAGTTTGATTATGATATGCCTTGATGATTTTCTTTTGGTATCTATCCGTTCAGGTTCTTGAATGTTTAGCTTCTTGTTAGAAAAGCTTTCTTCCAAAAACTCTTCTACTGTGTTTTTTTTTTTTTTTTTCCTGTGTGTTTCTTTGTCTTTCTTTTTGGAACTCCTATTACCCATAAATTATTCCTCTTCATAGTGTCCCGCATGAAGCTTAGGCTGTCCTCTGATTTTTTTCCTTCTGTTTTTCTGGTTGGTCTTCTAGCTTACTAGTATTTAGACATTTATCTTCAAGCTCACTAATATGGGCACCCATTACTTTGAATCTACCCCTTTAGCCTTTCGATATATTATCCATTTCTGAAATTTTAGTATAAATCTTCTGGATTTCTATTTGCAGGTTTTGAATTGTGTCCTATCTTTGTCTATTTTATTTGCTTGTTGCTATAGTGTTTTCCTGGACTCCTGGTGTGGTACTGTAGGATAAGTGCTTGATTGTAAGGTTGTTTTGACCCACAGGGTTGGCAGTTCAAACCCACCAGCTGCTTCTCAGAAACCCTATACAGAGTCACTATGAGTTGGAACCAACTAGATGACATTTAACAACAACAACAACAACAAGTAATGCTTTCCTGAATTCTTCCTTGTTTTCTTTGACCTTTCTGTCAATCATTTGAAGTTAATTAAGCATCATTCTCTTGAATTCTGTTTTGGGTAGTTCCAATGCCTTTTTCCCCTCAAAAACTTTTTCTAGCTCTGCCTCTTATCACTTGTTTGAACAACTCTGTGTTGGTTCTTCATGTGAACAGAAATTGTCTGTTTTCTCTGAGACATTGTTGTATCATTGTATATATATATTTAATTGATTATTATATGTTGATATATTCTTAGCCACCCACCAAATGTCTCCTTGTTGGTGTTATTGGAACCCTAGATGGAGTTCTTTAGACCTTGGTGTTGGCTGTTTTGGTCACCCAATTCATAAGCAGTTTGTGTAGATCCCAAAGCATCTGGGGGATCAGGGTCTTTCTGTCTCAGAAGCCATTCAGGACAAGAGTTCCCACTAGTCCAGAGCTGGCCAGACCCGGTTCTGCACATCTGGAGCAGGCCTCACCCGAGTCCAGGCACCAGGGTTGGTGCAGATAGCTTCCAACTCACTTTGTTGTAGCTCACAACCGCAAAGCTCTACCTCTACTACCATGCAACACTGATTGCTTGGAGCACAGGAGCTTTGCTGGCGGTGTATGTAGGTGGGGTTGACCATGGCTCAAGCCATCAGGGTAATGTGAGGTACAAGAAAAAAAAAAAAAAAGAAATCACACTTTCCTCTCCACCAGTAAGTGGTATGCCTCCATGACACCAAGCTGGCCTCTACCGTCAAAGCCACAGTGAAAGTTCAAGCTGGCCATGTTGCAACTGGCCTTCTACAACAGATCCCCAGTCTATATTCTTCTTCTTCTTTTTTCTTGTGTTTGTTCAACTACTTTTCCTATTTAAGGTGAATCCAGGACTGGCCAGAGATTTCTCTGCAGGTTTGGAGCAGTTCTCACCTGAATCCAGGTGCCAGAGATGGTCCAGGTAGTACTTTTGATGAGGTTCACAACAGTGCGGCTCATCACTGTGCTGATCCCACTACTGGGAGGGCAGGAGTTTTGCTAGGTGTATACTTGGTGGGGATTGGCCATACCTCTGGTCACCAGAAGAGTGGGGGAAATAAGACAAAAAAAATCACACCTTTATCTCTTCAAGTCCCCAGTATGCCTCCACACTGTCAAGCCACTTTCCTGTCTCTGAAACCACTCACAAAAGTTTAAGATAGCTGCGCCTTGTCTGGTTGGCCAGCACAAGTCAACAGTCTGCCTCCGTTGGTTGCCTCATCTGATCAGCTTCCTCTCTGAGTAAGCGTTCAGTCGTTTTGCCATCCCTTCATTTGAAGCTTAGGTCCTAGGACTGCTACCTGCATCGTTTTCATTTAGTTTTCCGTCTTTGCCGTAGAGGGTCTGTGCAGCATTTCTGCCTAGTCCGCCATCTTGCACCTCTCTCTTCCTTCCTCTACTTTTGTTCCTCCATTTTATGGAAGATTTTATCCCACTTACAAGCTACAGGATGAAAAAAGGTGGGGTTATGCGAGGAAATTGCAGTCTCTTTCTAGAAGAGGAGTGCTACTTTTGGCCTTGGGTCTGGCTGACCAAGGTGACCCATTTTTGTGAGTCCTCTAGGAAACCGAGGTACAGAATCTATGCAACCCACTGAAGTATGGGAACACATCCTCACTTTTAAATCATTCCTAATGTTTAGAAATTGGCTAAAATTTTGGGGAACATCTAGTCTAAAATAAGATCAACATGCTTCAGAAAAAAAAGATGTTAGATCTCAGCAGAATTTCCTGTATATGACTCAACTTCATGTGTTAATAAAGTTGTAGTCCTCTTTAGTGTGTATTTCCTTGTGAAAATTAGTTTCCTTGTCTTTGCATTAAAATTGTGTTTTAGTAGTTTTCATGAAAAGTGAATATAGATAGGTACCATCCAGAAATGTAGTACTAGACACCTCAGAGAAACACCAGAAAACATATTGAGATGACAGAGAAAATGATTTATGAACAAACATTAGTCATAATTATACTTCAGTCAGAAATGTATTTTGTCATCTCTCTCTCTCTAAGGGACAAGTACTCATGACAACAGTGTCTCTTGGTATGGAAGTTTCCTCTAGAAACTCACTTTGAATTGTTGTCCAAGTCCTGGGAGATGTCATCTACTAGTTCACTCTCAGAGGACTCCTGGGCCATGGATTTGTAGAGTTTGCAGGCCACGAGGGCCTTGGCCATACTCTCCTCGCCTCGCTGCCAGAGGAAGACCGCCATCTTCTGGCGTTTCATCAGTACGGCCCACACCATCAGCTCATGGAAGGGGTATTGGAAACGACTCACAGCAGGGTCCTCCAAGTCAATGTTGATCTCTTCCTCCTTTTTTTTCTTTTTCTTCTTCTTCCCTTTGGCTGGAGGCTCATCATCCTGAGAGGAGAGGAGCACAGTTTTCATGGTTGGCCATAAATGTGCAATATCAGATTTATGAATGACTGCCCCAAAGAAAAACCTTTTCCCAGAGGTAATAAAGACAAATTTTACGCATATCTGAAGGTCTCAATGTTGTTGTTAACTGCTGTCAAATTGGTTCCGACTCATAACAACCCTGCATAGGGTTTTCAAGGAGCAGCTGGAGGGCTTGAACTGCCGACCTTGTGGTTCTCAGTCCAGTGCTGTTCCTACAGTGCCACACCAGGGGGCCAGTTCCCAATAGATATATTATTTTGAGCAGATGTATGCTTATTATAATAAGTAAATGATCTAAAATTGAATTGGGTTGCTGTCCCATTTCTACCCTGCCATTCTCATTTCTATCACTCCAGTGTCTCTATCACACTATCTAGAATTGTGGAAGATTTGATTGAAATGTAGAAGAATTGATGTATTTGAGTTAGGGTGTTGGAGGAGAATATTGAAAGTGCCATGGGCTGCCAAAAGAACCAACAGATCTGTGTTGGAAGAAGTACAACCAGAGTGCTCCTTGGAGGCCAGGATGGCCAAACTTTGTCTCTCATACTTCGGACATATTGTCAAGAGAGACCAGTCACTGGAGAAGGATATCATGTTTGGTAAGGTGGAGGGTCAGAGAAAAAGAGGAAGACCCCCAGTGAGATGGATTGACCAAGTGGCAGCATCAGTGGGCTCAAGCGTGGCAACAATTGTGAGGTTGGCCCAGGACTGGGCAGTGTTTCATTCTGTTGTACATACGGTCACTATGAGTCGGTACCGACTTGATGGCACCTAACAACAACAACAGCAAGTGTCTCTACCTCCGACTCCTTGCCTTCTCATCTTTGCTTTTGGGAAAACTTAGCCCATTTGTTCTTGTATCACTGATTGTTATGAGGAGCACATTCCTCCTGGGTGTTACTGTTGATTTTATAGGAAATCTATTATTTGGCTGAAAGGTGATCTCTGGGAATGACTTCAGTTCCAGGCTAAAAGGTTAGAACAATAGTCTTGGGGGTTCTTCCAGTCTCTATCAGTCGGGCAAGTCTGATCTTTTTTTTTTACATATTTGAGTTTCGTTTTACATGTTCCTCCTGTTCTAACTGGGACATATTTGTAGGGTCCCTGGCTAGAGCAGTTGGCAGTTGTATCTGGGCACCATCTTGTTCTTTTGGCCTCAAGCTAGAGGAAGCTATTAAACCAAATTGTCTTTGGTTTCCTTTACTCTCTTTTCTTCCAGGCAGGCTGCTTACAAGTGTTTAAGATCCCGAGGTACTCCTTACCAAACGAGGATGTTCAACATTATCTTTATAAACTATGTTATGCCAGTTGACCTAGATGGCCCACAAGACTAAGGTAGTAGTCTTCAGGGCCAGTATCAGGAAGTACTGTTCAGATATGTTTAATTATTTTCCATAACTATTGCCTATGTGCTCTATTGAAGTGCAATAGCTCCATACAATAAACACTGTTCTGAGAACCACAAGGTCTGAGGTTCAAGTCCGCCAGCCACTTCGCAGGAGAAACAGTAGGCTTTCTAATCCTGAGACGGGGTGACTTAAAGCCTTGGAAACCCTATACGGGGTCACTATGAGGCGGAACTGACTGGATGACATTTAACAAAAACCATGTGTTCTATTATATATGTAATTACATATGCAACTATACCAATGCCCACAACTATGCCTATATATTGGAATATGATAAACAGTGGACTGCGAACCACAAGATCCATGGTTCAAGTCCGCCAGCCACTCCTCGGGAGAAAGATGAGGCTTTCTGATCCTGAGAAGGGATGATGTAAAACCTCGGAAACCCTCTACAGGGCTGCTGTGGGACAGAAGTGACAATATCAGTTAACAACAATGTAAGTATATATGCATGTGCATGTTCTCCCATACACATATACTCCTATATGCCCTCCCACATCTATATTAACATACTCACATCTACCTATATAACTGTTCATGAATATTTGATTGTTGAAGAATTTGGTTGTTATGGCATTTACTGTTGTTGTTAAGTGCCGTCGAGTTGGGTCAAGTTGGTTCTGACCCATAGTGACCCTGTATAGGGTTTCTGAGGGGTCACTGGTGAGCTTGAACTGCCAACCTTGCAATTAGTACCGGCCTTGCAGTCCAGCGCATTAACCCACAATGCCACACCAGGATTCCATGTTGTTGTTGTTGTTATGTACTATGGAGTCGGTTCTGACTCATAGTGACCCTGTACAGGGTTTCCAAGGCTGTAAATCTTTATGGGAGTAGAAAGCCTCCTCTTTCTCCCGTGGAACAGCTGGTAGTTTCGAACTGCTGACCCTGAGGTTAACGCCTGATTCGTAACCACTACGCTACCAGAACTCTTTCCAGGAGTCCATAGTTGCCCTTTATTTCTGCATAATTCTCAGTATCTTCATTTACTTTGGTCACCTTGCGCTGACCTCTCTCATATTTTGTATTGCATTTCCCGTCACCAGAATTAACATGTGTCTACTAAGATAAGCACTGGCCTGCTTACCACAGGTCAGCAATTCAAACCCACCAGAAGCTCCTTGGAAACCCTGTACAGAATTACTATGAATTGAAACCAACTCCACAGCACTAACCATCAACCATCTAGTAGGTGTCCTGGTATGGCACTGTAGAATAAGCATTGGCCTGCTAACCTCAAGGTTGGCAGTTCAAACCCACCAGCTACTTCTTGAAAAACCCTATATAGGGTTGCTATGAGTCAGAAGTGACTCAATGACACTTAACAACAACACCTGTGTAGTAAGTGATTCTCCTTCTCTCCTGCTCCCATCCCTAGTGACCAACTATTAAAATAACATTGCTTTCTATGAGTAAGCCTCCTCTTAACTTTTTATAAAAGTGGTATTGTACCAGATTTGTCCTTTTGTGACTGATTCATTTCACTTGTGTTACCACCTGTTGTTGGTCCATTGGTCTGAGAACATGCGATGGCACTGCCAGGAGAGTGGGCACATGGGTTGTGTGGTGACCAGCTGGGTGGAAGAGCTCTTTGCTGCTCACCAGTGGGTTGGGTGGTGGACAGGGCAGTGGTCAGGGACACAGGAGTCCTCTTTGCTAGTTGTGCTGGCAGGTTGTGTCGGGTGATTGGGGTGGGTGATGGATGACTGGGGGTGCCATCACTTGCCACATGTGTGGTTGGCAGGCGAAAGGTGTGGTGGGAAACGGGATGCAGGAGTGCTCTCTGTTGCTTAGTGAGTGGGCAAGGTGGTGGGTAGGAGGGATGTGATGGGCATCTGGGGGCACAAGCGGGCAGGGCAGTAGGTGGAGGGATGTGGTTGGTGTCTGGCAATGCCAGAGTACTGACTGCTACTTGCCAGGTAGGAAGAGGTGTGGGATGAGGGGTGGTTAATATGACTGGGTGATATATTGTAGGCCCAGTGGTTGGTGGGGTTGCAGGTGTGTGTGTGTGTATGTGAGTGTGTGTGTGTGGGCTCATGTCACTAATTACCAGGAGGGTGGAAGGTGGAGATGTACGTTCCTTTGGTTGCTCTTCATTGGTGCCTGCTTAGTTTCTATTGGCCACTTCCAGCAATCAGGGACTTGCTATAACCAGTGTGAGAGGGGGGATTCCTTGAGTTCAGTCAGATGGCATGTTGCAGATCTATTAGTCCATGTGTACCACCTAATAGTCAGGGACCACCATTGGTGACCCCTGTCCCTGGGTCCAGTTCGTAAATATCAGCATTCCTGGATTCTAGCCCTCCTTCCTGTTCTTTCCCTCTTAGATCCGATTCCTGTCTGGTTCACCTAGTTTCATTCCAACTCCCCCTTTCTCCTATTGAGAATTCTATGGTCTTGCCTTCCTATGTTCCTCACTTTGGATCTTTGCTGGCTTTGCCTCAAGATGGACACAGTTTGCTGGGCCAACTGACAGGGCATCTCTGCTCTGTATCTCTCCCTGTTTGCTATTTTCCTTTAGTTTCTTCTTCCAGTGTTTGATGTAATTATTTATTCTTTCATTTAATGCCCATAGTTCCAGGGTTGTCCTCTGTATCTGCTGCACTTAGTTTCTTGAGTCTGTAGAGGGACGACACGGTAGATGGATGGCCCAGTGTGTCTGACAAAGCCACCATCTCTGACCGTCTCCCCCTTGTTCTTGATTATCATAGAAATGACCCCATTGCTTCATTACCCATACTCGGGTTCCTCTTGGTACAATAGACACATGTGTTTAATCATTTCAAGAAAATATTTTACATCACCATTATCTTTCTAGTGAGCAAATCTTTTTTTTTTTTTTTTTTAATTGAGGGATATGTTTTACAGTTTATCAAATTCTTTTTTTTTTTTTTTTTTTAATTGAGGGATATGTTTTACAGTTTATCAAATTCTTTCTCAGTGCTTATTTGAAAACTGATCATATCAGATTTTTTTCCCTTTTTTTTGACTTATTGATATGATGTCATATACCTATGAAAGAGTTGGTATTATTAAATTCTCTTGAGTCCATTCTGACTCATAGTGACCCTGTGTAGGGTTTCCAAGGAATGGCTGGTGGGTTTGAACTTCCGACCTTGTGATTAGCAGTCCAGTGCTTATCCTACAGTTCCACACCATGACTTCATTAAAAAGTTCCCGACAATAAATTATATTTTCAACCCAGGAATTTCTTTTTGTGATTTCTGCATGTATAAGAATTTTTTTTTTTTTAGTGTTTTGTTTAATCTTTGACTGCTTTTAAAATTGTGGTTTTGCTAATTTCATGAAACGAATTGGGTAATATCGATACTTTCTTATGTATCCGATACTTATTGATACTGTCATGTAATGGATAACTCAGCCAAGTAGATTTTGGTGAGTAGTACTCCTGGTGTGGTGCTGTAGGATCAGCGCTGGACTATGAACCACAAGGTCAGCAGTTCAAACCCACCAGTTGCTCCTTGGAAACCCTGTACAGGGCCGCTGTGAGTGGGAGTCAACTCGACAGCACTTAACAACAACAACAACAGTAGGTTTTTTCTTGGAAAACAAACTTGTTCAAATTGTTTTAAAATAAATTCAAAACTAAGATGGTTGTTGAGAAGAACTCCTACTTACTTCCATTCCCAGAAGTTTAAGAGCTTTAGGCTGCATAAGGAAAAGGAGAAAAGACATCAGTTTATACAGATAACTCATATTAACGGTAGTAATGTTAGTAGAACATTAGTGGCATTAAGGTTATTAATAGACATGATAATAGATTTTAAAGCAATGGGACTTTTTTTTGTATCATTAACAATTAATGACAATATCCAAGGTAGGGAATTGTTTTAACATGTAAACTCTACTTCTATCAGCAGAAGTCAGTTGAGGACAAAGAGTTGCCCCAAAGTGACCCTTATTCCAGGCAGAACCAAAGGAGTTATGGAACAGACATCTAGACACAAAGCTATGGACCCCTAAGTGGGAGGAGCAGAATGGCTTCAAGAAGGACTTATCATTCGAGATGAGTTTGCAATAAAAGTAGGGTTCTGTTCAGGGGACACGACATGGCAGGCATATTAATTCAATGTGACTTTAGCGGAGGGCTGTGGGGTGGAGAGAGGCGTGGTCCACCATGATGGTGTGCGGATGGACACATGATGGAAGGCCTCAGATGCCGAGATAATGTGTCTGATTATGATTCCCCAGGAAGTGCAGAGCACAGGAAGGTTATGAGAAGGACAAGTGCTACCATGTCCTTTGTCCTGGAGAATTATGGAAGTATGGAAGCTACAGTGGGAGGACAGAATGGAGACGGCAGAAATGGCAGCCGGAGAACCCAGGAGGAAGGCTACCATGGGCCGAGAAAGGAGAGCAGATGTAACTGATGCTACCTGATTTGCTCCGTGAGTGAAGGAGAGCGACTCAATGCACAAGCCTGGGGGGTCTTCCAGGATGGCAAGTCTTCCTACCTAAGAGTCCTTGTAGGAGGAAGGGAAGGTGTGCTTGGGGGTGGAGTGATGAGTTGGATTTTGTACGGTTTGACTGATTGACAAATGAAAGCAAGGAATCCATTGTGATTCCCCAAACCACAGGACACTACAGGCTAACTGAGTTCTACCCTCTTTTGTCCAAACAAATTGTTGTAAAGGGTCCGAAAGCTCTTCCGAGTGTAGTTGCAGCGGTAGGCTCCTCCCATGAGGTACTCGAGCACAAGGCCTATGTCAATGAGGCTGATGTGGTAATCAGGTGGAAGGTTTCCCTGTAAGAACGAGGTTTGGTCTGAGTATCGACGTATAAATACATTTCAAGAAAAACAGATGCCTTCGAGTTGACTCCACCCCTAAGATTCTTGTCTAATTTTTTGAGTTGCTGTTGTCAATTTGATCCCACATAGACAGTTTTTTAAAGACCATAATTCTCGAGGCAGACCTTTTTTTCACTAGTTAAGCGAGACTATTTTTGGTTTTAAGCAGCTCTGGTAGCGTAGTGGTTACAAATCGGGCTGCTAATCTCACGGTCAGCGGTTCGAAACCACCAGCTGTTCCGCGGGAGAAAGATGAGGCGTTCTGCTCCCGTAAAGATTTACAGCCTCGGAAACCCTGTGCAGGGTCGCTATGAGTCTGAACCGATTCCATGGTACTTAACAACAACAATTTTTGGTTTTAAGAAGACTTCAGGGGTGATATTTTGGTTTAAAGTTTAAAAATGATCTGAATAATAGTTTTAGGAGTTCATCAGCCTTCATGGCGCTAAAAAAAAAAAAAAATAGGAATTTGAAATTCTGCTATGCATTTCCCCTCTTTTGATCAAGGATTCATCCATGGAATTCCTCCATGGAATCCTTGTTCCAAATGTTCAGCAATGGAAGCTGGATGCTATCTAGTTCTTTTGATCTCCTGGCAAAGGTGGTAGTTGGTCATAGGGACAGTTAGCCATCCATTACCTATCTTCTTCCTCTTCCTGACTCTCTTTCCTCTGTCGATTCAGGTGAATAGAGAACAATTTTGTGCCTTGGGTGGCTGCTTATGAGCTTTTAAGACCCCAGGCTTTACCCAATGAACTAGGAGGTAGAAAAGGGGCACTAAACATGCTATTAGGCTAATTAATTCCTATTCCCCATGAAACCATGACTCCAAGCCTCCAAATCAAGGAACCAAATCCCATGAGGTTTTCTACTGTACGTAATCAGTCTCAGCAGCTCCTCCCTCTCTCTTTTGTTGTCTTTGTTAGAAACATATCTATCACACATTTTTGGCAATTCAAGTTTTTACAGGTGTACAACTTATTGGCAGCAATTATGATATTCAACTGTGCAACCCTCGTGTTGTGGGAAGAAGCGTCTATGCTTAGCAATTCATGGAGTCCTGGTGTTGTGCTGTAAGATAGTATTGAAATGCTAGCACCAAATTTGGAGGTTCAAACCCATCATCCGTTCCTTGGAAACTTTATATGGAGTTGCTGTGAGTCAGAACTGACTTAACAGCACTTACCAACAGCAGTAAAACATCATTTCATAATGAGATAACACAGGCAGGAATAATTGCTCTAATTAATGGCGCATATAGAAAATGTGAAGAGTCACCTCTTACGCTTTTAGAAACAGGCACGGTGATTGAGAGACAGGTTTTGAAGTGGATCTCTGACATGCGCCTTCACCAACTGATGCTGGGGCTTCCTTGGTGTTGGTAATGCACTAAGAGGTTTATAAGCAGTCACCTATCTTGTGTGGGAATGAAGATTCAACTTTAAAAGGCATGTGTTTTCGTCAACTCTTTATATCTTTTATGCCTCAAATAATAAGAATTCTATGTATGCATCTTGTTGTTGTTGCTGTTAAGTGCCATCGAGTCAGTTTCCACCCATAGCGACCCTCTATAGGGTTTCTGAGTAGCGGCTGGTGAGCTTGAACTGCTGACCTTGCAGCTCAGCGTATTAACCCACAGCACCACCCCAGGACTCCGTACAAGTTAAAAATGCATCTTAGAAGTTAAAAATTGCCTTTAAAATATTTTATTAAAATATGCCAATTAGGAAGGATTATAAAACAGTAGACTGACCTTTTTGACGTCTCTTACCAGCAGATGAAGCGTGTTTGGTGGACCCAGTTTCTGTAAGAGAACACATTTCAAATATGTTCAATGCTTGGAGAAAAATCTTATCCTTCTGTTTAGAATTAATGAATTGTGGTAGGTAGACTCTGGCCCCCTTGTTTGTTTCTATCTCTTTAAAAATCTACACTGTGAAATATTTGACATTCCAACCATTTTTCTGCATAGAATCAAATGACATTGATTATTTACACCATGCTGTGGTCCCATCACAATGCTAATGGGCTTCACCCTTCCCTTTCCTCCTGCCCTGGTAACCTCTCATGAAATTCCATCTCTATGCCTTGTTTCGTTTAAGACGCAGAACTGGTTAAGTATTCAACATACTAAATACTTCTTACTGAACTACTTTAAAGCAGATTTTATGTCGTATAATATTGTGTTAAAAATTTCAGAAACAAGTTTTAGCAAGTAATTCCAAGAGAACCATGGAAGGAAATGTAAATTCTAAAATTTATATTTTAATAATCAATCCAGGACATTTCATTTAAACATATCCAGTCTAATACTGTGGACCTTATTCCTTTGAAAATGGCCATTTGCTCCATCTGGGTATTCCTTGTTCAGTGGTATCACAGAAATAAGGTCTAGCAATCTGCTTCCGTTAATATTACAGCCCAAGTATATACACAGCAAGGAGTCCTCGTAAGACACTGCCGGTTAATGTGCTGGACTGCAAGTTTGTTGGAACTGCAATGTCAGCAGTTCAAGCTCACCAGCCGCTCCTTGAAAACCATATACAGGATTGCTATGACTAAGAACTGACTTGATGGCACTTAACAACAACAACAATAATATACAGTTAGAGGGAGGTGAGCAAATATTGATCTAGGCAATGGAAGGCATAGGAAGGAAGACAGAGTTAAAGACAGTAGAGGTAAATCTTGTAATAACAGCAATAACAATATTCTATGAGCAGATACCACTGGACCAATAAACAACATTCTTATCAATGGAGAAAAGATTGAAGTTGTCAAGGACTTC